AGCTGTCATTGTTGTTTGGTGGGCCTGGGCTGGATTCGAACCCGACACCTTGGGTGTACGTAGCTGGCGCCTTAGCCACTTGAGCCACAGGCACTGAGCCAAACCTCAGTGTTTTAAAGGAGTAAATGAGAAGCGTGGTGTTGCCCATGGCTGTGTTGTCTTCCTGCCCTGGACCCTGTATGCTACAGGTCCTCCTACGGAATAACTATGTGGATACATGAGTCCATCAAGTTAGAAACAGGTGTTGATGGAGGATAACAAGAGAAGGGTGTGGGCTACAATGTACAAGAAGGGGAACAACCCCAAGTCACAGGAGTGGGAAGGAGATCAGTAGTATTTCTGATGTTTCTTTTTTCAAAATAAGGAAAAGTTCAGCCACCTGCAGTCTGGCAGGTGGAGACAACCTGAGAACCCTAGGGGTTCTAGAGGAAAAGTGGGGGAACCTGAGAATCCACACCCATAGAGGAAAACCAGGCTTTGAGTCACAGGGAAGGCAGGCTGCCCTCACCCAGTCCTCTCTACCAGTCCATCCCAGGCCTATGTGGCTCTGCATGGCATAGGGAGGGGAAAGGTGGCCACTCCTGGAACCTCCGAGGAAGGGGACAGGGCTGGGGGCTACTTATTGGTGAATCCTCTCACTCAAATAAACACCTTGCACAAGAAGGGCTGGGGAAGTAGATGGGGGATGTTTAAAAATTTAGTTTTTCAATTTTTCAATATTTTTTTTAGAGACAGGGTCTTCTGTGTCGCCCAAGCAGGAGTACAGTGGCATAGCTCACTGTAACCTACCCCAGCCTCCTAAAGCAGCTGGGATTACAGGTAAGCACCAGCACACCTGGCTAATTTTTTTCTTAATTGTTTTTTAGAAGTGAGGGTCTCGGCTCGGCGCCTGTGGCTCAAGTGGCTAAGGCACCAGCCACATACACCCAAGGTGGCGGGTTCAAATCCAGCCCGGGCCCGCCAAACAACAATGACGGCTGCAACCAAAAAATAGCCGGGCGTTGTGGCGGGCGCCTGTGGTCCTAGCTACTTGGGAGGCTGAGGTAGGAGACTCGCTTGAGCCCAGGAGATGGAGGTTGCTGTGAGCTATGATGCCACAGGGGGGACAGCTTGAGGTTTCTGTCTCAAAAACAAACAAACAAAAAGAAGTGAGGGTCACATTATGTTGCCTAGATTGGTCTCAAACTCCAGACCTCAAGTGACCCTTTAGCCTCAGTCTCCTAAAGCACGGGAATTACAGATGTGAGCCACCCCACTCAGCTGTGGGAGATTATTGTACTTGAGATTTTAAGAGGGCAATTACCTCAGAGAAGAAGGGAGGAGGCAGTTTCAATAGAAACAAAATCTGACAAAAAGGATGAGGCAGATAATAACAGGGTGTGCTGTGTGCTCTTAGGGTGTTGGGGGGCCCAGGAGACAAAGGGTGTGGGAGGGCCAGGACCAAAAAGTCGAGAAACAGTGGGAATAACATGAGCCGTTTCAGAGGTCTGGGAGGTCCTGTGGGAACTGAGTGAGCACCTGGAGGACAAGAGGTGGGAGAGAGGCCAGCTGTGACGAGGTGGACAGGCCCAGGAGTGCTGAGTGGGAGGCTGGGGTAGGGGCGCAGGCCGGGGGCAGGACGATCAGTGATTTTCCCAGAGACACACCAGGCAGCCTCCAGTGAGGGGTGGGAGGGATGTGGGTAAACGCACAGAAGTATTCACTCCTCCCACACTCAAAAGAATTCACACCTGGCAAATTGCAGCTCTAAAAAGTGAAAAGGGCGGGCACTTCCACACTCCGCAGTTGGAAAAGGAGAGTCTGTCTGTGAGAATCACAGCCCGAGGCAGAGCCAGAACAGCTCTCCAAGGCAGAAAGAGAGGGACAAGACTGCACGGAGCATCACACTGGGGGAACCAAGGAAGTTGTTTGGGGCTTTTAGTGCACCTTTGGAAAAAGCAGATACTTCCAGGCCCCAGAGCACAGGGCGTGTGGTGTTTCCACAGGAGTGGTAGGGACATTTGGTGGCAAACTCTGGCCCTGGTGGTGGGTGGGACGAAGTGAGACACGAACTGCAGCACAGCCAGGTGCCCAGGGGGAAGCAGGAGAAGGCCGGAGTGTGCTCAGCATCAGGTGAGGGAGAGTGGCAAGGGACAGGGCCAGCTGGGCAGAGAAGGGCGCAGGGCATCTCTTGAGTGCCCTGCTGAGGTGGGGGTGGATGAAGCATGGGACTGGTCAGGCCAAGATGCCCTCAGCTCTGCACACATGCTGGGGGTCCAATCTAGGTGATAGAGGCACCCCCCATATAGGCAGGCAGCATCTCCATGCTGCTGCCCTGAAACCTGAATATTCCAACACTTGTTATAGGATCCAGGGGCCCCTGCGAGCCACCATCTGCCCTCCCAAAACCTCTCAAGAAATCTTTGCTCACATGCCTCAAAAAATCACAATCTGTGGCTTCCACCCGAGCCACATCTTTAGTGAGTGCCTACTGTATGCAAGGCTAAATGCTGGGTACTGAGGAGACATGGGAGCACAAAACCAACCAGATCTCTGCTCCAGGAGCTGGTGTGGCAGGGTCGACAGTGGTACATTATTCTCAAGGGCACATTGGGATGTCAATATCAGACCTAGTGGTCTCAGAAGGGCTCTCTGAGGAGGGGGTATCTGAGCAGAGGCCTGAATAAAACAAGGAATTGGCCCTGCAGATTTCTGGGGTAGCATATCCCAGGCAGTGGGGACAGGGAAATAGGATCAGCATGTTCGAGGAGGACTGGGAGGAGTGAGTTGGGGGAAAGCCTGGGAAATTGGGGTAGACCACATCCTGGGCCCCATCTCTGAGTAAATGGCACCCACTGAGGCTCCTTAAGCAGAGAAGTGGCATGATGCATTTTAAAAGAATTGTATGGAGCAAAAACAGATGCAAAAAGCCTCGGCAGGGGGCCCCTACAGGCATCCTGGCAAGAGATGACGAGGCTTTGGACCCAACAGTCAGTGATGTGCAGCCCACCAGCCCCATCCTGACAGTCGCCCTCAGATAATCCATGTCCTATCAGTCTTATCCATGTCCTATCTGTTTTAAAGACAAAACGGTACCTTCTCAGGGAAGGACTGAGACCTCATGGGGCTGGAGCCCTGGCTGGCCACTCTCTGGCCCAGTATTTGCTACTGTTGGGCTCACCTTGGGGTGGGAAGCTGGGGAGGTGATGCAGAAAACAGTGCTGAAGATTTGGGGGGCTGGACTCCTGGCCTCCTCATCTTTAAATTGGGGACCTCCCCTAGCTCTGATGATGCATAATCCAATGAGCAGAGGACAGGACCCATACTTGTCCTGGCACAGTGATTTGTCATACCCACCAGTACAATGACACAGATAGGAAAAAAGAAGGTGGATGGGGTATCACCACTAGCGTGTGGGGGCATAAATCACTTTGGCACCTTATGCCTGGTTCCCCAGACAGAGACTTTTGGACATATCACAATCTCTGAGCACCTCCATCCCACCACCTCTGGCAGCACTGTTGGTAAACTCCGTCCTCATACCTCAGAGGAAAAAGGGCAAAGGCGGCTACAGATGAAGAAAGGTCCCCGCAGACTGGGGAGGCACCCCGCCCTCCTGGAGGCGGCATTACTCATTGGTAGCCCCACGGAGCTCGTGGCTGTCCAGAACCAGGGATTTTGTATCACCTCATTCCCCACCAGCACTGTGACTTTGGACAAATGGGCTTGCCTTTCTGTGCCTTGGTTTTCTCATCATTAAAATGGGGATAACTGTTCCGCAGCAACTCCAACCTCAAGAACAGCTAAAATCACATTAAAGCTGGCTAGGTCTTAGTCATGAGGGCACTCAGGCTGCCCAAGGCACTCTCCCAAGGCGGAGAGAGCGGTGCCCACCCCAAGACGGGTCAGCTCCACCATCCTCCAGGCTGCAGGGAAGGCGCGGGTTTTCCCTCTTGGCCACGAGGTGGCGCGCTTGACACTCGAACGGGCGACTCACCAGCTCGGTCACATCCTGGCCCCGGAGCAGCGGCTTCTCTTCGGGGAATCTCAGCTCTTGCAGCCCGGCCATGGTCACGTCGTGAAGCAGGAGGCCTAGAGAGGGAGGGCGAGGTTGAGGCCTGCTGCGGCGGGGACAACCCTGGCTCTGTTTTCTGACTGTCCCCAAGCAGAGAAGGACAGTGCAAAACAGGGCTGGGCGGCAGCTCTGGGGACCTCGCCAACCAGCGAAAGCCCCTTAGCTCGCAAGGCCCACAGCCTGTTTGGCTCAGGGTATGTCACTGTAGTATTTGCTTTAAAAAGTTAAAACTTGTTTCAAAAAAAGAAAAGAAAAAAGCAACATATGATGATCCCTACAACAATTACAGGTAAAATTCTGCATTTATTGAGAAACAGGTGGGGGAGAGTCAGGAGGCCAAACTCAGGCTGAGAAGCAGACAGAATTCTCCTGTGGAAACCCCTGGTGTCAAGAGTGGACAGTGAAGTTCTGGAGGACACAGCAGCCAGACAGGAACAGAGCCAGCGCTCTCCCTCAGGCCTGAAGAAAAAGCCTGCCCGAGGATGTCCCAGGGAAAGAGAGAAGGGACAGCCCTGGCAGAGTGATGTTTTAGGAGTGAGCACCCGTTATGCGCAGCCACCAGCTCAAGAGGGAAGGTCCCAGGCCCTAATTGCTGGGTGTTCCTGGGGGACCCAGGGGCCCCTGAACCTCATTCACACATATACATGCAGGTGTGTGTATGTAGGAACCAGCAGCGGGGGAAAGAAGACAGAAGATTCCAGGACCCCACAATTCCTCTAGGACTGGCATCACCATTTATTGCTTGGATTTCAGTATGGCACAGATCAGAATGCACCAAGAGAAAAGGTAGCCAAGACCATGATCTAGAAATTCATACAAATTAAAACTTTTTTTTTTTTTTTTTTGCCAATGGAACTGGCAAAGTTTGCAGAGATAGCAGATGCACTGAAACTGGCCCTTTTTTATATTGCTTGTGGTTGTATAAATGGGTATATCTTTCTGGAAAGAAGATGTGAAAATAAATTAAAATTATCTAAAAGGTTCATACTCCTGGATTCAGCAATCCCTTCCCTTGGAGCAATTTCCTAAGGAAACCAAAGAGGACAAAGTATGGTTTTTTATCTGTTAAGAATGCTCACCACAGTGCCATTATATTAGAGAAAACCAGAAAGGAAGTCCAGCATTGGGGCACTAGATAAATTATGGGTCAATAAATAGTAAAAGATATTTAATACAGTGGGGAAATTCTTGTGTTATAATAAAAAAGCAGTTCCAGAAAAAATATGCGGTATTATTCCATGTCTAAAAGATACAAGTAGTGCTATAAAAAAGCTTGCAAGGCTGCACATCAGGAAGTGAACAGGCATTATCCCTGGGTGGGAGACCGAAAACTGGAGTCTACAATCTGGAATCAGGAAAAACTTTTTAAAAAAGTTATCTAGTTGAAGAATGGTAATAATGCCTTGTTCTTGCAAAGCACTTCAAAGCTCACCAAATGCTTTCTTGTGCTATTTTGTTTCATCCTGATAGGAAGTGAGATGTGGAGATGAAGACTAAATAAAGGAGTTCAATTACTTGCCCAGATAGGGCCAGGACTGGACTCCGAGTCCAGTGCTCAGTATGCATTCTATAACACCACGGCCACCTGACCTGGAAGGATGGACTTCTGGTTCCTTCCTCCCACCCTTTCCAACTCTATTTCTAGTCTTTCTTATGAGTAAAGCCCCGTGCCCCCCCCCAGCCCCTGCCCACCTCTCTGGCTTCTCCCTATGACAGGCCCACTGATTGAAGCTGACACAAGAACACAGGACCTTTTTGTGGGAGGGCTGCTGTTGTGAGATGCTATGGACCTTCTCTAGATTCCCTTCCCTAGGAATGGGAAGCAGGAAGTATCAGCCTTCCAGATGGTTACAAAGATGAAGACCATGTCTTGTGAATGTGTGGGGGTCCCCACTGGAGTCTGGCTTAGGATTTATTTGCACGTGTTTGGGCTGGGCTTGGAGCTGCTGGCCACACAGGCCCCTGGAAGCCTAAACGAGAGCTGTGGAGCTTCCTGGGAGAACCCTCGTCCTACGCACCAGGAGGCCAGGTGGGGAGGCACCTGTCTGCCTGGGCACTGGTCCCTGCACGCCTGCAGCTGAGCCTTAGCAGAGCTCTCAGGTTCCCAGTGGTTTCCGAGGAAACTAGCTAACACAATGCAGATGGGCTGTATTTTTAGAAAGGCATCCTCTCTGCTCTCTCTCTCCCTTTCCCCTTCCATCCTTTCTGATGTGTGCACACTCGCCCATCCATCCAGTGGGGAGCTGAAGGAAGGGCCCTTCCCCTTGGAAAACTCCTCCCCCAATACAATATTAGCCATCTGCCTCCCTGAACACCCATCTCAATTAAGCCCCTTAGTAGCACTGGGGTGTCCCTGCCCTCCCCCAGACCTGTTATGAAAGTACCCTGGAGACCATTCTCCCCAAGGACAATGCTATTAAAAGGGTTAAGAGTGGGCAGTGGGCAGTACAGAGACAGATGGCCTGTGACAGAGGGGGTGGCAGGGAAAGGGGCAGAGAGAGACCTTATAATCCAGAGAACTGGGACTGTCTCAGCCCAAGGAAAATGGACTGTTGGGGAGCTGTGGGGCACCAGGACAAAGAGGCCAGAGCAGACCTCCCCACAGGGTTAGAAGAAAATGAGAATCCTATCAGCCTTCTAGGTCGGCAAGGTTAAGTAGCATGGGGGGCTTGGAGGTGGGGTCTGTGAAGTGGTCAAAGACAGCTCTATTCTACCATTTCCCCCCTTTGATCTTTATTCTCTAAAGAGAACAAGGAACTGTAAACAACAACAAATGGTCCTGGGATGAATCCCAGCCCTTCTGCTTATCAGTGGTGAGGCTGGGAGTCACTGAAACCATGGCCAATATTTCTTCTTTCCCACTTGCCAGTGCCTACCTTTATTTTGGAAAATCACTAAAAGGCCAATTTATTTGCAAAATAGGAACATTAGCCCTCCTCTGTCCACCTCAGAAAGGTTTGAAGAGCAAGAGACATTAAAATGCCTTCATTGGTTTTGTTTTGAGACAGTCTTACTCTGTGCTCTGGGTACAGTGCTGTGGTGTCATCATAGCCTACAGCAACCTCAAGACTCCTGGGTTCAAGAGCTCTTTCTGCCTCACCCTTCCGAGTAGTTGTGACTACAGTTACCCATCATGACGTGCCTGGCTAATTTTTCTATTTTTATAGAGATGGGATCTCCCTCTTGTTTAGGCTGGTCTCTAACTCCTCCTGCCTCAGCCTCCCAGAGAGCTAGGATTACAGGTGTGAACCACCACAGCTGGCTTAAGAATGCCTTTTAAATGGAAGATTTTTGTACATACAAGATTTTTGAACGGGATGAAATGAACTTGGCACAGGGGATCAAGGTCTTCCTTGCCTTTCCCTGACTACTTGTAGGGCTACTTGGAGATTCTTTTCCTATTAGAGGAAAGATCCACACCTACTGGCAGAGAAGCTCAGCTGATGTACACAGGAAAGAGATGGTAAAGGAATAAGGGAGAGGAAGCATAGCCCCCTGGCTGGGGGACAGGCCCCTCAAGGGGAAAAGAGCACTGGGAAGTGTTGAAAGGGGCTCCTGAGCTGTGTTTATGTGGGTGGATTCGTTAAGAGGAATTATGTTTCATTTTGGTGATTTGGGCTTTTAAAAATGTGATTCCTTGCTGACACCTCAACCATGTGAACCCTCAGATTTATTAGGGTTAAAAATAGAAGCAGTGACTGTGGTCACTCCTGAAACTGTTCAATGAATGTTTAAATTCACCAGTCACAGTTACACATCCTACAGAACAAAGCAATTGTTGAACGGAAAGGAGTCAGACAGTGGCAGGGGCTGGTAGAGGATGTCTGGAAATGCACTGGGCATTTCTGGTGGTCTCTGGAGGCTCCTACCAATATTTAGTGCCCAGGGGCCACAGGCAAGAAGGCCCATGTGATTCAGGGACAGTGCTGCACAACCAAGGATCACTCCCCACTCTAAAATACCTGCAGCTATTCCACTGAGAACCCTAGAAATGAAGGAGAGGCGAGACAGAAATAGAGGCAAGTTAGTGTACTTGGGAGAAGCTGTGCAGAGGCGAGTCAAGTTAGTGTACTTGGGAGAAGCTGTGCAGAGGCGAGTCAAGTTAGTGTACTTGG